TACAGGCGCTATCGAACACTGTGGATCATGCTGAACTACTTTGGCATCAGGATGGAGTTTTGCTTGTCCTACGAACGTAAAATAGTCCTGATAAAGGCAGCAGAAAGCGAGACTACACGGAGACGTTTCAAGTTTAACGTAGCCACCGTAAACACCGATCAGCTGTTGCGTAATGATTATTTGGCTGTCGTGATGGCCCTGTATTATATTATGATGGTCAAAAGTTCAATGCCTGATTCACAATTCACAAAAATACGTTAATATTTTGTCCCATCACACATAAATTGCTCACCGACAAACATGATACATCAGATGAATTTGTCCTGTCAAATTTTGGGCCTTCTGCGGTGTAAGTGCATTGTGTGTGTGTGTGTGTGTGTGTGTGTGTGTATAAGGAGAACTGCTGAGACTCAATCTCAGGGGCTCACATACACACACCATCAAAGAAAAGAGGGTTGTGAGGTCAACCTTTAGCATAGGTGTGTGTATGCGTGCATGTGTGTGTGTGTGTGTGTGTGTGTGTGCTTGTGAGAGCGATTATGACACATGGGCACTTTTTACATCTTTACAAATAAAGAAAAAAGAAAGAAATCAAAAACATGAACAGTTTCAGGCAACAAGACCACAGAAGAGCAAGTTAACAACCTTTTTTAAATCTATATCTTTAAATATGAGGGTTCCATACAAAACACTTATGTAATAAAATGTTATCAAATAATTTCACAAGTAAAACACTGAAGCTGTAGGCAGGATGTACCGTCAGAATTTGGCACTAAATTCCACTCATCTTTATAAGAAAAAAACAAAAACAAATTTTTTTGCTGAACAACATAACACATCTAAAAATTGTTTCCCACAATAGAAATGTAGACTTGATGAAACCACGACTTTATCCACGAAAAGCACCGACGGGACCGCGGGTTACACAAACTCTGTTTTTTTTTCCTCTATACATTTAAACAGTATAAAATATAGGTCATTTCATGTGCATTTAAACCACAGATTGTCTAACTGTAAGTCAGTTCAGCAAAAGGTGTGACACGTAGGTAGCATTTCCCCCCAAACAGGGCAGTCTTGTGTGTGTGTGTGTGTGTGTGTGTGTGTGTGTGTGTGTGTTTTTAATAACTTTACTACTCTAGAAAAAAGTGGTTTTATATAGACTTTAATGAGAAATCAAGCCACTTAAAATGGCTTTATCAAAAAACTTTACACTGCCTGAAAAATGTAAAAACCACGAGCAAGCTCTGAGAGATTCTAATATTGATCTTTTTTTTTTTTTTATTAAAACTGCGTGGAAGTAGTCTATTCGTTTAGAAACCAGCATGGGTTTCTTACGGCAGGCCTCAAATTAAGAGTTTTGCCAACAGTAAGTCCCAACGCCAATCCCTGTATTGAACGTTCAAGTTTACTTTAAATGAATGAAAAACAAACAAACAAAACAAAAAAACAACAACAATATATAAACAGAGAGAGAGAGAAAACAATCTGACAAATAAAAAAGAAAGAAAAAAGTCAAACGTAAATATTCGTAATTGTTTTGCCACAGGATTTATTTATTTTTTCTTTGTTTTCTGTTTTCTTAAAATGATGCTCTGGTTATGTTAGTAAATATACTCTGTCTCTAGAGTGTGAATGCAGCGTTTTCACATTATTATTATTGTTTTTTTTTTGTCTTTCCTCCCTTCCTTCCCTCCCTCGCTCCCTCACCAGTTAATCTAAACAAACAAAAAACAAAACAGAAACCAAAACAAACACAAGAAAAAAAGGTCAAAATGAGGTCACATGCGAAACTTTTCCAAAAAAAAGATCAGGCTAAGATCAAAGTACAAAGATCAGTAAAAGGAGACCAGATTATGAGCAGGAGAACTCAGAAAGACATCAGAAATAATGACGGGACGATGAGACTTTTTTTTTGTACGCCACGTAGACATGCTAGGCAAACGATGAGCATAGAGTCATGGAGATGAGTTCTAGGGAAGAAAACGGGAGAGGAGAGTTACACACACAGCTCCGGCACACAACTAACATCATTAAACCATGAGAACAACAAACGAACAAACAAAACAAACAAACAACAGCAGCAGCGTTATTAACCAGCGTTTCACCAACATCACATTAGCATTTTTTTTTTCATACAGTACACAAATTTTGAATAAATTGCCAACATGTACACGTAAATGAGGCACTCGCTCACACAGAGAATACAAATACACACTCCATCTCCTCCATACAGACATACACCCAAAAGTATCCATCCTGGTCCGAGACCTCAGATGGATCGCCGTTTTTTTTTTTTTTTTTTTGGAGAGTACGAACAAAAACCAAACAATACGAAACAAAATGAAACGAAAAAGAGAGATTTCACTTATGAAGTGCCACTACTTATGACGAAAGAGAGAAGAGGAAGAGAGAGTCGAGACAGATATGATAGGGACGTGACGGATGGGATTGTGGGAAATGGCGAGAGGGAAGGTGAGAGAGAGAAAGAAAGAACGAAAAAGAGGGGTTTTGTACGTGATTCTGTGTTCTCGTCACACGACAGATTGTGTTGTTTAAGAAGGCTCAGGATAGAGAGAGCACGACTTTCCAAACCCAATAACTTAAAAGATAATAAATAAAGTCCTTTACTTCAGAGGCAGTAGAAATTTTGTATAAAAATAGAACTGCATTTTTTTTACAAATAAAATTTACAGGCCTGTGGCTTTCTGTAATTTAAGATAATTTTTTTTTCTTTTCAATAAACATCAAGTTTTCAGTTGCCCACCCCTCCACATAGAACCTAGAATGCTTTATTCTTTTTAACCATCGACAGATCAAAATCTTTTTTAATGCTCTACACAAATTCTGTTGGACAAAGACCACAATCATCTGACGCATAAAAATCGGACTAATTATTTTTTTCTTTAAAAAAAAAAAAAAAAACCAAACCAAACAAACAAACATAAACAAAAAAACAACAATAATGAAAAAAAAAAAACCTTACTGACAGAAATGGAAAAAAAAAAAAAAAAAAAAAAAAAAAAACATGAAA